AGGCGTTTAACAGCAAGGAAATGAAGTTGGCAGCTAATTCTCCTTGCTTTGCCCATTTGTCCTTCGATTCCCTGTGACATGCAAATGCCCCTCTCCTGATTCGAGTTCCACTCTCCGTGATATATAATGATGCGATCAGAAATGAAATCAATTATTGTTTTTGTATGTATGTCAGTTTATTGTGTGGCGATGGAGCTACTGCCGCTTCTTCCGCGCTTCTCGGTTTGTTCTTGTTATGTGTGCGTGTTTTTTAAATAAAGCATTGCTTATTGGTTTGGGTAAGTGCTCTCCGTACCCACACAGAAGCAGCCCCCCAGCCACGAAGGCCTCCAACCGTCCTCCGCGTGCTACATATAAACATCTGAAGCCAAAAAATTATAAACCTGCTGTCCAGCCTGGGTACATTTCGATCGTTCATAGCCTGGCTCATTGAAATATGGCTCCGGCACTAGAATCAACGACTGCATGCTAACAATCACCTGCAAATATATAAATTACTGAAAGTGAGCAACCATGTTGTACTTAAAGTCCAAAAAGTAAAAGTACAACCCAATTTTGGCGCTCACAATTACGTCGACTATTTGAGTCCTACGCATTTTAGGCTAAATTCTAACTTTTTGAAGCTTTTTTTTTTAACGCAATCTGGCACTTACAAACAAACGCTGACATAATACCCGTCAAATTTTTCGCCCCTTCTAGTAGATTTTATAATTCCTCGGTAAAATTTTGTTGACTTCTAATCTCCTTGATTAAATTTTGCGTCCATTTGCTTAACATTTCTTGGCCCTTTAAACTCGTCCCCACCCCTTCCGCACTCATAGAGGTGAGGCATGTGGGCACCATGCCGCGCAACAAGAGGTAAGTACTTCCGAGCTTCTTCAGAACGGATGAAAAAAGCGTTCATAGCATATATAAAAAGCAATCAGATTCGCATTTACTACTGAACGAATAAAAGCAGGTATTTTGCACTCTCAAATGCTACAGACAGAAGTTTCTGAACGAAAATACCTGCAACAAACTGCTTGTTTCCGGATTCCATCGTTCTTCGGGTCGGCCGTGCCATGTGTTCAACACTGACAGACATACTTTCCCATCATTATACAAGTTCGGATTGAAGCGAACCTGCAAAAAAACTTTTTTTATGTACTTCCAGAAATTTAACAATTCGCTGACTATTAAAAACATAAGTATCAAGCTCATAGCAACAGCATATATATAAATTAAACTTACGAATATCAGCACAATCAAAAAAGCTGCAGTATAAACTTCAAAACTACGCTATCAATACAACTGTCAGAACTAAAATATCACTGTTATACGGAAGGTATCATCAATTAATTAAATTTTTGCGCCTCAATTACTATCAATTTACGATATCACTGCAATCATAAAACCTATTATTTAAGCAATGATCGCCAAACTAACAGTATGATTGCCCGTAGTTTCCAGATTCACATGCATTGGCGAGGTCGGATAATCATTCGGGAACCAAACATCAAATTCGAAACAACCATTCATATAAGGAGTATCCGCTGGACCCGTAATTAAAACCTGCAGCAAAAAAAAGCATTCGTATAAAAAATACCTCTTTTTTATTAAAATATAAGTAGGACTACTGCCTTTGGAAAACAAACAAATGCCAAATTACAATGCCAACTAATTTTTGCAGTACAACTTATGATGAATGTAGTTCGGAATATCTCGGCATCAAAAGCTAAATGCCTTACTAAGTTTTTTTCTTCTTTCTTTCCTCTTTCTATCTCCGTTCGTTTGCCAAACACCTTGGTACTTGAATTCTTACGTGGTGGCGCTAGGCGGCTGTACTCTCCACTCTTACCCACATCTTATACTGTCTGTTTTTACAGCTAAGGGATGAAACAGAGGTAGATCAACTTTTACATGTTCTTTTTTACATGACTCTTCAACATGTCATACTATATGAGCCACATTAACAAGCGCACTATCTCCCCATTACAATCCATTAACTAATTCCATCTCTCACATTAAAATTTAAGGATTCTGACCGTGCCATATTCTCCATGGTTGGGACTAGCCGTTGCTTCAGAAAGGCCAAAAAATTTTTATCAATTCTACCAACGGCCCAAAAATTTTTATCAATTTAATCCAGTTCGGCCGCCACACTTGGACCGTCCATTTCTGATTCGGCCTTCTAATGACCCATACAATACAACTGTATTCCACTAACTTCTGGCACATAACGTCTTACGAATGCAGGCTACTATGGAGAAGTAAAGAAAAAACTTTTTGAGAAAGTACAATATTACATAAATATTGAAAAAAAACATAATAAAGTCTGAAAAAAAAGAAACAGCAAAAAAAACACATGAAAACAAGAAATAAGCAGATTCTGGATAAGCAGATCTGGATAAGTAGATCAGCATTCTGGATAAACAGTTAAGCATTCTGGATGAGCAGATAAGCAGATCTGGATAAGCTATCAGGATAAGCAGATTCAGCCATCGGAAATGCGGAACAATCAGAACATAAATGGCAACGCGCACCAGGCTAGCCGGTGCGATCATGCGTTTTGTGCAATTCAGCCCATC